GGAGTACTGGAGTCTTGTCCGTCGCAGGCTGGTAGCATGCCGGATTCTTCTGTTCTAGTGGTGATGCGCCTTATGGTGTATGTGTATTTCAGTGGTCATTGTTTATTTTTTTGTTTGTTGTTGTTGTTAGTAGTGTGTTTTGTTTACCATGTTGTTGTTGTTATGGGTCGATCTCTGACCCGTGGTCGCCTGGTTTCTCCATGTGTGTTGTGTTACAGGTGAGCTCTCTGTTCGTCTTGTCTCTGTTCTTATGTTTCCTATTTCACTGCTTGAGCGTGTTTTTATGGTTTCGGTTGTGGTTCTTTCCTTGTTTGTTGTTGTCATGTTGTAGTTTTGTGTTTGTGTGATGTTATCCAAGTATGTGTAGAAGTTGCATGATAATAATAGAGAGTGAATGGTGTTTTTGCATTACAGTTATATGCTCTAAGGAAGATCAGAATTTACAGAGAAAAAAAACATATCTACTATGCAAAGAAAAAAAAAAAAAAGAAAATATACCACCACCTATGCCAAAATTGGCATACTCTTAGGGAGCTTTCTTTTTAAATTCCCATGTGATGTCATGTGTTTGTAAACTTACTGTATGCTGTAAGCTCCATGAAAGCCCAGACCCGAGTCCAGCTGCTCATCACTGCATCCCAGGGCTTGGCCCTCAGGAAGCACTTTGTAAGTATTAAGCTCACATTAAATATTTGTTGTATAAATATGAACATTCATTAAGTGTTCACTTAAGTGAGGTGTAGTAGATAGGTAGGAAAGAGAAACAAGCATTAAATGTGCTTTTTGTTGTTTTTTTCATTGGTTTGTTTAAATTCTCCTTCCTACCTTGCCCCTGGCCTGGTGATCACCCTGTACTTAGTCTTTCAGCAGTGTGATCACATGATTAGCAAGGGGCTTCCCTCGCTTGCTTTCTGTAGACTCTGGTTTTATTCTTTTATCTTATCCTTTCATTCAAATGTAATTTTTACAAAGCACAGTCTTTTTTTTTTTCTTCTTCTTCTTTTTTTTGAGATGGAGTTTCCACTCTTGTTCCCCAGTGTGGAGTGCAATGGCACCATCTCAGCTTACTGCAACCTCCACCTCCCAGGTTCAAGCAATTCTCCTGCCTCTGCCTCCTGAGTAGCTGGGATTACAGGCGGCCACCACCACACCCAGCTAATTTTTGCATTTTTAGTAGAGATGAGATTTCACTGTGTTGGCTGGGCTAATCTGAACTCTTGACCTCTGGTGATCCACCCACCTTGGCCTCCCAAAGTGCTGGGATTACAGGTGTGAGCCACCATGCCCAGCCCCGAAACACAGTCTTAATTTTCTTTTCTATGTTCATATTGTTGCAGTAAACTGAGGAACAGAGAGACTAATACGGAGTACAGGAGGATTTGTTTGTTTTAGGCACACACCAGCTCAGAGGATTCACATCTGAAAGCTGAGCCTTGAACAAAGATAGCCAAGGTTTTTATAAGCAGCTTTACAGAAGCAAAATAAAAGCAATTAATCATACAGTAACAGGTTACATAATCTATAGCATAAAATAACTTGACTTAGCCAGTGGCCTTGTAGCTGCATTAAAAGGAAAACAAGAACTGGCTAAATACAGACATTTGTAAAACATAATCATGCTAATCATGCTTAAGAAGCCTGGGAAAAGAGTAACAGTAAAAGAACTTGTGTTTCTCTTTTTTTTTTTTTCTTTCAACCTTGCTCTGGAACGGGGAAGGGGTTGGGGGGAGGGTGGTGTCTGGAGCTTATTCCTTTGGCCTTGGCTATTCAGACAGCGTTATCTCTAACTGTCTTTAAAGGGAGCTGCTAGGCAGAGGAAAACTTGTTCTTTTCTTTTGAACTCTTGCCTTGCCACATTCTGGGCCTTAGCTTTTACTTTTCTTGGAGTGAATAAATGCAGCACTTATTATTATTATTATTTAAGTTTCTGCCTCAATATAGTCACTTGCTCAGTAGACTATCTAGGTTTCTTCATTTGTCCTTGCTAAGACAGTTAATCTTGCCATTTCTATTTTCCTCTTAATGTGCCCTATTATCTCCTATTCTCAAATTTACATCCTCATGACATTTGATAAGGCAGAGAACCAAATCTGCCACCAAAATCTCATTATCCTACTTTTCTTCCTTTAACCCCTTTTCCCCCTCACTTTGGTACTTGTCTTTGGAAGGCAGCAATTATTTCTTATTTATCATCAAAATATTTTATTTTCTTTTTAAATTTGTAGCAGAATCATTCAGAGATAAAAATAAGTAATCCCACTGAATTCCAGAATCATGAAAAGCAGGAAAACCAGGATCTCAGAGCTACTGCAAATGTTCCTTCTCCACCAGATGAGCACCAAGGAGCTGAGAATGCTGTTTCCTCAGGTAAACGTGGAATAAATGGTATGTCAAGTGACTTGAAAAACCAAAATTGCTAGAAGTAGCTGGGTACATTAGTTTCCTAGGACTGTCGTGACAAAGCACCACAAACTGGACAGCTTACAAAAACAGAAATTTACTCTTTCATAGTTCTAGAGGCTGGAAGTCCAAAATCGATGTGTCAGCAGGACCATGCTTCTCTGAGACTCTGGGTGGAATCCTTCCTGACTACTCTGACTACTCTGCGATGGCTGTCGACGCCTGGTGTTCCTTGGGTTGCAGCTGCATCATGCCAGTCTCTGGCTCTGACAGCGCATGACATTCTCCCTATATGTCTTTTTAATAGGACACCAGTCATATTGGATTAGGATCCACCCAAATAGGCCAAGCATAGTGGCTGATGCCTGTAATCCCATTACTTTAGGAAGCCAAGTCAGGAGGATTGCTTGAGCCTAGGAGTTTAGGACCAGCCTGGGCAACATGGCAAGACCCTGTCTCTACAAAAAGTCAAAAGAATCAGTCAGCCATGATGGTGCACATCTGTGGTCCCAGCTACTCAGGAGGCTGAGGTGACAGGGTCGCTTGAACCCAGGAGGTTAAGGCTGCAGTGGACCATCTTCATACCACTTCACCCCAGAGTGTACAGAGTGACACCCTATCTCAAAAAATTAAAAGAACGTCCAAATGATGTCATTTTAACCTTAATACATCTGAAAAAAATTCCTATATCTAAATAAGGTCATATGGCAGGTACCAGTGGTTAGGACTTCAACATATCTTTTAGGGGCCACAATTCAACCCATAGCACCATGTTATAGAATTTCTTTTTTTTTTTTTTTAGACAGAGTCTTGCTCTGTCGCCCAGCCTGGAGTGCAAAGGTGCAATCTCTGCTCACTACAACCTCCGCCTCCTGGGTTCAAGCAATTCTCCTGCCTCAGCCTCCCAAGTAGCTGGGATTACAGGTGTGTGCCACCAGGCCCAGCTAATTTTTGTATTTTTAGTAGAGACGGGCTTTCACCATGTTGGCCAGGCTGGTCTCGAACTCCTGACCTCGTGATCCACCCACCTCAGCCTCCCAAAGTGCCGAGATTACAGGCATGAGCCACCGCACCTGGCCTTCCTTTCACTTCCTTTTGCTTACTAAACCTCTGCTCCTAAAAAATAAAAATAATAATAAATAAATAAATGAAAATAAAATATCTCAGTATCAGTTTCACCTGGGCAAATCTGCTAGGGCCCTGAGCCTTGCCAGAGGAGGAGTTAGAGAGATTGAGAGAGGATAATCCATTCGAGTATTCACCAAGCAGTTAAATCTGGAATTTCTAATCCTGAGCCTTCTCATTTTCCCTAAAACTTTGAGTGTCATACTGAATCTAGAAAATTACAGGAAAAAATGTTCTGATTCCTTGGGTCTGAGATGGGCCTGAGAATCTTCAGTTTTTAACAAGTCTCCCAGGTAATTTTTTACTTTTTATTTTTTTGAGACAGGGTCTTGCTCTGTTGCCCAGGCTGGAGTGCAATGGTGCGATCTCAGCTCACTGCAGCCTTAGCCTCCCGAATAGCTGGGACTACAAGCATGCACCACCATGCTCAGCTAATTTTTGTAGTTTTAGTAGAGATGGACTTTCACCACGTTGCCCAGGCTAGTCTCAAACTCCTGAGCTCCAGTAATCTGCCCACTTCAGCCTCCTAAAGTGCTGGGATTACAGGTGTGAGCCACCATGCCTGGCCAATATTTTTCAATACAGGCCAGTTTTTTGTCCTCTGAGTTGGTTTGTCTAATATGTCCTCATGTTTAGATTCAGACTAGGAACTGTTGGCAGGAATCCCACAGAGCAATGCTGTTGCTTTCTCAGTAGGCACCCTAGGAGGCACAAGTGCTGGGTGTTCCTATGACTAGTCTTGTTAACTTCCATCCGTTGGTTATGGTGGTGTCTGCTAGGTTGCTCCTTTGTGAAGTTACTCTTTTACCACTTGTAATTAATAAGTATCCTGTGGAGAGGTACCCTACATAAGTATCCTTTTTTCGTTTGTTTTGTTTTGTTTTGTTTTGAGACAGTATCTCTCTCTGTTGCCCAGGCGAGAGTGCAGTGACAGGATCTAGGCTCACTGCAACTTGTGCCTCCTAGTCTCAAGCAATTCTACTGCTTCAGCCTTCCGAGTAGCTGGGATTATAGGTGTGCACCACCATGCCTGGGTAGTTTTTGTCTTTTCAGTAGAGACAGGGTTTCACCATGTTGGCCAGGCTGGTCTCCAACTCCTAACCTCAGGTGATCTGCCCGCTTTGGCCTCCCAAAGTGCCAGGATTCCAGGCATGAGCCACCAAGCCCTGCCAAATACCCTGTTTCTCATGAAACTTTCACTTTCTGGTTTTACAGCCAAAGTCTAAGCAGAAGCCCCTGCAACCATTCCAACTCTGACAGAACATTGTTTTGCCTTGTTTTACGGATACATTGGGGAAACTTAAGGACGAGAACTTTAGAAATGGTATTTCTTGGAAACCTACTTGCTTGTAAATCAGTGATTGAAAGAAAATTTAAAAAAAAATTAATAAGAGATGAAAGCTCATTGAATATTTTTAAAATAGATTACCTCAAGTTGAAAAAGATGTAAGATTGAGGCTTTCTTATATTTTAAGATTAGACTCATAGCTCTATAGCATATTATACGGGGCCCTTTATGGTTTAACCCGCTACCTGTCCTATTCCCAATGTCCTCCACTCCCTCTTATGTACCCTACACTTCAGCAATTTCAGCCTACCTCAGTTTCTCTGAATGTCATTATTTCCACTGTACTATAACCTTATATATCACTATTGTTCCCTCTGCCTGGTATGGTTCTTTTCCTTCCTTGCCTAATACCATTAAGGTCAAAAAAATAAGCGACAGAATTTGAGAAATGATTATGGTAAGTGGGAAAAAATTACCTAACCTAATATATAACATAATTTCAACTGGAGTTAAATAATAATAATAATAATAAGCTGGCTATAGTGGCACATGCCTGTAGTCCCAGCTACTCTGGAGGCTGAAGCAGAAGTATCACTTGTGCCCAGGAGTTTGAGACTAGCTGGGCAACATAGTGAGACCCTGTCTCTTATAAAAAGCAAACAGGCCAGGTGCAGTGGCTCTCGCTTGTAATCCTTACACTTTGAGAGGCCAAGGTTGGTGGATTACCTGAGGTCAAGAGTTCAAGACCAGCCTGGCTATAAACAAACAAACAAATGACCACAACCAAAATAAGCAGAAGAAGCAGAGGACCAGAGGAAATATGCCAGATGTTCATGGTGTTTCTTTGGCTGATTGGATTACCTGACTTTTATCACATCAGTTGTAACGATATTATGTTCATAATAAAAACTGAAAAAGTTGTTTTTTAACCGATACGTATATGTTTAAATTTAATTTATATTAAATAATGTTTTAACAATAGAGACGGGGTCAGGGCCAGGCATGGTGGCTCACTCCTGTAATCCCAGCACTTTGGGAGGTCAAGGCGGGCAGATCACGAGGTCAGGAGATGGAGACCATCCTGACTAACACGGTGAAACCCCATCTCTACTAAAAATACAAAAAGTTGGCCGGGCATGGTGGCAGATGCCTGTAGTCCCAGCTACTCAGGAGGCTGAGGCAGGAGAATGGCATGAACCCAGGAGGCAGAGCTTGCGGTGAGCCGAGATGGCGCCACTGCACTTCAGTCTAGGCGACAGAGCGAGACTCCATCTCAAGAAAGAAAAAAAAAAACCAGAGATGGGGTCTCGCTGTGTTGCCCAGGCTCATCTCAAACTCCTGTGCCCAAGCCATCTGCCCATCTCAGCCTCCCAAAGTGCTGGGATTACAGGCATGAGCCACTGCACCTGGCCAACTTTCTGTATTTTTATTTTATATATTTATTTTTTTTGAGACAGAGTCTTGCTTTGTTTCCAGGCTGGAGTGCAATGGTGCAGTCTCGGCTCACTGCAACCTCCGCCTCCCGTTTTCAAGCAATTCTCCTGCCTCAGCTTCCCGAGTAGCTGGGATCACAGGCACACCCTACCTCGCCCAGCTAATTTTTGTATTTTTAGTAGAGACGGGGTTTCACCATGTTGGCCAGGATGGTCTCGATCTCTTGGACTCATGATCCACCTGCCTCAGCCTCTCAACGTGCTGGGATTACAGGTGTGAGCCACTGGGCTCCACAGGCGTCAGAAAATTTCTGTATGCCTACTTGAAGCATATGAACTGTAATCGTAGGAATGCTGTAACTAATTCTTTGTGCTCCTTATGTGCTATTTCTACAACCACCTTGGCAGAGCCTACCATGTGAAAATGCTCTGTTAACTTAAACATATTTCTTTTTCCTTTCTTTTTTTTTTTTTTTTTTTTAAAGAGATGGAGTCTCACTCTATTGCCCAGGCTGGAGTGCAGTGGTGCGATCTTGGCTCACTGCAAGCTCCGCTTCCCGGGTTCATGCCATTCTCCTGCCTCAACCTCCCAAGTTGCTGGAACTACAGGCACCCGCCACTACGCCCGGCCAACTTTTTGTATTTTTAGTAGAGACGGGGTTTCACCATGTTAGCCAGGATGGTCTCAATCTCCTGACCTCGTGATCAGTCCGCCTAGACCTCCCAAAGTGCTGGGATTACAGGCGTGAGCCACCATGCCCGGCCACATATTTCTTAATGAGAACTTTTTTGATATCCTTCATTATTTCTGTGTCTTTGGATTTAGGTAACAAAGATTCAAAGGTACCTTCAAAAAGAAAGAAATCTGTCTACACAGATGAGTCATCCAAACCTGGAAAAAATAAAAGAACTGCAATCACTACTCCTACTCCAAGTAAGTTTTGTAGGCAAAGCCATAATAAGTAATGGTTGCCCCACTTCAAACTGATGTTGGACTGGAACAGCTAAAAGCATAGAGGCTGGAACCAGTTTACATTCTAGTTCTCTCATCTTTTAGGCTTAAGATCTTGGGGAAATTACTCATCTTCAATAAACTCACTTCCTCAGTGTAAAGTGGAAATAGTTATACTACAGTACCTATTTCTTTTTTTTTTTTCTTTTTTTTTTTTTTGAGACAGGGTCTTGCTCTCTCGCCTAGGCTAGAGTGCAGTGGCGTGATCTTGGCTCACTGCAACCTCTGCCTCCCAGGTTCAAGCGATTCTCCTGCCTCAGCCTCCCGAGTAGCTGGGACTACAGGTGTGCTCCACCACGACCAGCTGATTTTTGTATTTTCAGAAGAGACGGGGCTTCACCATGTTGGCCAGCATGGTCTCGATCTCTTGACCTCGTGATCTGCCTGCCTCAGCCTCCCAAAGTGCTGAGATTCCAGGTGTGAGCCACCCTGCCTGGCCTATAGTACCTATTTCATCAGGTTGATAGATACATAAATTGAGAATACTTTTTCCACTACTGCTTCCCTATCATGGCAAATAGCATGCAGCAAGGATTCAATAAACATCTGATGAATGAATGTACGAAGTACTTGGTACAATGCCCACCTTCTAATAAGTTTTTCATAAGTCTAAATGACTCTGTTTTTGGACATGTAATTCTTCTTCTCTCTTGTATTGTTGGAACATTGCTTGGCACATAGAATGTTGATTATTATATTTATAGTAGTTACAATGCTGCTCATCCTATATTCAAAATTCAGTAAATGTTCATATACTTAATCAGAACAGGATACAGCAGGGGTCAGCAAACTGCTGCCTCCCTTGGCCTGTCTTATATCCTTTGAGCTAATAATGGTTTTTATATTTTTTAAAGAATTTAAAAACAAGAAGAATGGCCAGGCATGGTTCTCACACCTGTAATCCCAGCACGTTGGGAGGTGCAGGGGGGTGGATCACCTGAAGTTGGGAGTTTGAGAACAGACTGGCCAGCATGGTAAAACCCCGTCTCTACTAAAAATACAAAAAAATTAGCTGGATATGGTGGCAAGTGCCTTTAACCCCAGCTACTCAGAAAACTGAGGCAGGAGAATCGCTTGAACCCAGGAGGTGGAGGTTGCAGTAAGCCAAGATCACGCCATTGCACTCTAGCCTGGGTAACAGAACAAGACTCCATCTCAAAAAAAAAATAAATAAATAAAAACAAGAAGAATATGAGACAGAGACCATATCACATGTTGCCATAAGGCCTAAAATACTTTGTTTGTTTTCTTTTTGTTTTTGAGATGAAGGTTTGCTCTTATTGCCCAGGCTGGATACCTCCCGGGTTCAAGCGATTCTCCTGCTTCAGTGTCCCGAGTAGCTGGGATTACAGGCATGTGCCACCACACCCGGCTAATTTTTGTATTTTTAGTAGACAGGGTCTCTCCATGTTGTTCAGGCTGGTCTCGAGCTCCCGACCTCAGGTGGTCTGCCCACCTTGGCCTCCCAAAGTTCTGGGATTACAGTTGTGAGCCACCATGCCCAGCCAAGCCTTAAATACTTTTATCTAGCCCTTTATAGAATAAGTTTATCAGTCGTTGACATAGGGCATTATAAAATATCAAATTCATGATTAAATAAAGACCACTTGTGACTAATTGGTAAGGGAGAAGATAAATCTTCTACTGTCATCCTCTGGACTAAACCAAGATGTCAATTTAGTGAAATTTGTCAATGAGGAGATGGTGAATGTTTGATAGTTTATAAGACGAATGTGCTTTGCCCCTGAGTTTCCAAAAACTAAGTATTTTGAAATTAATGTTTTAGCAAAAATTATATTGAAGTTGAATGTCAGGGGTGCAAAAAAGAGAATTAAGTGTTAACGGAAAAACACAGAGAAGGTAAATGGATTTTGTTTTGTTACTAACTTTTATATTGGGGGAACATTCTAGACTTTAAGAAGCTTCATGAAGCTCATTTTAAGGAAATGGAGTCCATCGATCAATATATTGAGAGAAAAAAGAAACATTTTGAAGAACACAATTCCATGAATGATCTGAAGGTATGTAGATAAAATTATGTTCTTAATGGGACTAAACTGTTTGATTATAATTTTGAAACTATATAACACCATGGTTACAACAACTGGCTATCACTCTACCAGTAGATTTGTTTGAGTTTAATATATCTTTATCTAAAACTTGCTTTTCTCTACTCTGAGAATTTTCAAAATCCTCTGGATAAAACCGAATCCATGGCCAAGCGCAGTGTCTCATGCCTGCAATCCTAGCATTTTGGGAGGCCAAGGCAGGTGGATTACCTCAGGTCAGGAGTTCAAGGCCAGCCTGGCCAACATGGTGAAACCCTGTCTGTACAAAAAAATACAAAAAATTAGCAGGGGTTGGCACACGCCTGTAATCCCAGCTACTCAGGAGGCTGAGGCAGGAGAATCACTTGAACCAGGAGGCCAAGGTTACGGTGAGCCAAGATCGTGCCACTGTGCTCCAGCCTGGGTGACAGAGTGAGACTCCGTCTGAAAAAACAGAAAACAGTGAATCCTGACTATGAGAAACTATTTCCAAAATGGCAATGTCATTCTACTTTCCATATTCAGATGTTTTGCCTATTACTTTCATTGAGGATGAACCAACTTATGGCTGAAGCCGTCTTCTTTCCCTTGTCCCTTATGTAAAGAAAAATGGGTGATTAATAGTGGCAAACCTGAAGGGTTCCTGTGGTAACAGCTCCCTCTAGGGCTTTCAGTCCAGGTCCCACAGGACTCAAAGCCTCCTCAAAGTAAGAGAAGGTGATAAAGTCAACTCTGAGACTGAGCAGAGTAGTGAGTTAATAACATTCTAGCAAGTTGATGTTATTGGTATCTGGTGTTAAGGCAATGCCGAAGGGAGGGCAAGAAACACATTTTTAAATGTTGATTGATTGATGTGTTTTTCTTATAAAGTCAGGGTCTCCCTGTGATGCCCGGGCTCTCCTTGAACGCCTAGGCTCAAGTGATCCTCCCACCTCAGCCTCCCAAAGTGCTGGGATCACAGGTGTGAGCCACCAGATTATATTTATTTCTATTCGCTGTATTTAATTCTTAACCCCATGTTTATGTTACATAACTTCCCTATTTCTTAAAAATAATTTAAGGCCTATTCTCAAAATAATTTAAGTTTATGGTATTAAATATAAAATAGTATAGTCAATTTAAAAGCACTGTTAGTGGGTACAGTATTGATTACCATCAGTCCCTCAGCTGAGTTTCAGTTTTCTGGCAGCTAGGGCCAAGAGGAAAACTCACTGGGTGATAAGTTGTAAATAATTTTATTTAAGTACCTAAGCTTCTTGGTGAGAAGCTTCATTGAAATAATAAACATTCATTTTAACAATGTAAAACCTCTGTTACAACAATTTTTTTTCTTTTATTTTTTTGAGACAGAGTTTTGCTCTTGTTGCCCAGGCTGGAGGGCAATGGTATGGTCTCAGCTCACTGCAACCACCTCTGCCTTCCTAATTCAAGTGATTCTCCTGCCTTAGCCTCCCCAGTAGCTGAGATTACGGGCACCCGCCACCACACCCAGCTAATTTTTATATTTTTAGTAGAGATGGGATTTCATTATGTTTGGCCAGGCTGGTCTCGAACTCCTGACCTTAGGTGATCAACCCACCTCCCAAAGTGCTGGTATTACAGGCATGAGCCACCGCTCCCATCCTCACTGTTACCACATTTGAAGGCCCTGTTTATCAGACTTTTTTTTTTTGAGATGCAGTCTCACTCTGTCACCCAGGCTGGAGTGCAGTGGTGCCATCTTGGCTAAACCTCTGCCTCCCGGGTGCAACAGATTCTTTTGCCTCAGCCTACCAAGTAGTTGGGATTACGGGTGCCCAGCACCACACCCGGCTAATATTTGTATTTGTAGTTTTATTTATTTATTTTTTCAGACAGAATCTCATTGTGTTGCCCAGGCTGGAATGCAGTGACACAATCTCGGCTCACTGCAAACTCTGCCTCCTGGATTCAAGTGATTCTCCCACCTCAGCCTCCCAAGTACCTGGGATTACAGGCGACCATCACCACGCCCAGCCAATTTTTGTTTGTTAGTTTGTTTTGACAAGGAGTTTCGCTCTTGTTGCCCAGGCTAGAGTGCAATGGTGCAATCTTGGCTCACCGCAACCTCCACCTCCCAGGTTCAAGCGATTCTCCTGCCTCAGCCTCCTGAGTAGCTGGAATTATAGGCGCTCACCATCACGCCTGGCTAATTTTTTTTGTATTTTTAGTAGAGATGGGGTTTCACTATGTTGGCCAGGCTGGTCTTGAACTCGTGACCTTGTGATCCACCCACCTCAGCCTCCCAAAGTGCTGGGATCACAGGCATGAGCCACGTCCCCCAGCCCCTGCTACTTTTTATATTTTTAGTAGAGACAGGATTTCACCATGTTGGCCAGGCTGGTCTCAAACTCCTGACTTCAGGTGATCCACCCACCTCGGCCTCCCAAAGTGCTGGGATTTCAGGCATGAGCCACTGCTCCTGTCCTCACTGTTACCACATTTGAGCATTTGAGGGCACAGTTTATCAGTCTCTTTTTTTTTTTTTTTTGAGACAAGTGTCACTCTGTCACCTAGGCCGGAGTGTAGTGGTGCGATCTTGGCTTACTGCAACCTGCACCTCCCGGGTTTGACAGATTTCGCCAGCATTGCAAAACCCTGTCTCTACTAAAAATACAAAAAATACCCGGCCGTGGTGGTGAGCACCTCTACTCCCAGCTACTCAGGAGGCTGAGACAGGAGAATCACTTGAACCCAGGAGGCGGAGGTTGCAGTGGGTGGAGGTCATACTATTGCACTCCAGCCTGGGCAACAGATCAAGACTTCATCTCAAAAAAACAAAAACAATAGGCCGGGCATGGTGGCTCACACCTGTAATCCCAGCACTTTGGGAGGCTGAGGCAGGCGGATCACCTGAGGTCAGTGGTTTGAGACCAGCCTCACCAACATGGAGAATCCCCGTCTCTACTAAAAATACAAAATTATCTCATCATGGTGGTGCATGCCTGTAATCCCAGCTACTCGGGAGGCTGAGGTAGGAGAATTGCTTGAACCCGGGAGTCAGAGGTTGCAGTGAGCTGAGATCGTGCTGTTGCACTCCAGCCTGGGCAACAAGAGTGAAATTCCATCTCAGAAAAAATAATAAATTTATTTTAATTTAATTTAAAAAAGCTTTCAGCTAGTCACAGTGGCTCACACCTGTCAATCCAGAACTTTGGGAGGGTGAGGCTGAAGGATCACATGAACCCTGGTGTTCAAGACCAACCTGGGCAATACAGTGAGACTCCATCTCTAAAGAAAAAAAAACAGTCAAGCTGCTGCTTTGTGTATTTTGTAATATGGATGACATAATTTTCTAAGTAAAAGTTAAGAACAGAGCAAGAGGCCGGGCGCGGTGGCTCACGCCTGTAATCCCAGCACTTTGGGAGGCCGAGGCAGGTGGATCACAAGGTCAGGAGATCGAGACCATCCTGGCTAACACAGTGAAACCCCGTCTCTACTAAAAATACAAAAAAAAATTAGTGGGGCGCAGTGGCAGGCGCCTGTAGTCCCAGCTACTTGGGAGGCTGAGGCAGGAGAATGGCGTAAACCCGGGAGGCGGAGCTTGCAGTGAGCCGAGATCGCGCCAATGTACTCCAGCCTGGGCGACAGAGCGAGACTCCGTCTCAAAAAAAAAAAAAAGAACAGAGCAAGAACAACTGTCTCAACCATAAACTTTGAGAATTACCCTAGAAGATGTGTTGAATAAACGAATAGTTTATCTTACTTTTTAGTATAACTCCAGCCTGGTAGACCCATCTGAATGAGTTTAGTTCTAAAATGACACTGTTCACCCTGAATGTTTAAGGAATTGGCCTATCAGATGTATAACTTGGTATGATCTCTTTGGAGACTAGAGAATAAAAAAAACCAATTACAATAACTTCACCATACCTGAGATGAAGTTGCTCTTGGCACATTTGGGGCTTGATCGTTTGGATGGTGATGGACAATAATAAGCAGATATCCTAAAGAGAATCATTCTGGCCATGACAGCCTCTCTTTGACTTGCATGGTAACAGAAGGCAGACTTGTTTGATCTAGTTGTCAAATGGCCTCTAAAAAGATCAGAAAACTATCTGGGTATGGTGGCTCATGCCTATAATCCCACCTACTTGGGAGGCTGAGGTCGGAGGGTTGCTTGAGCCCAGGAGTCAAAGACCAGGCTGGGCAACATAGCACAACCCCATCTCAAATAAACAAACACCTACATACCTACGTTTAATTAATTTATTTTAATTAATTATTTTTTTTTTTTTTGAGACGGAGGCTCGCTGTGTTGCCCAGCCTGGAGTGCAGTGGCCGGATCTCAGCTCACTGTAAGCTCCGCCTCCCGGGTTTACACCATTCTGCTGCCTCAGCCTCCTGAGTAGCTGGGACTACAGGCATCCGCCACCACGCCTGGCTATTTTTTTGTACTTTTAGTAGAGACGGGGTTTCACCGTGTTAGCCAGGATGGTCTCGATCTGCGGACCTCGTGATCTGCCCGTCTCGGCCTCCCAAAGTGCTGGGATTATAGGCTTGAGTCATCACGCCCGACCAATTATTCATTTATAATAAAAAGATCGAAAACTTGTATTCCAAGGTACCTTGTATAGTTATAAGTCTCTATACTTTATAATTGTCTATTTTTATGCAGTTTTGCTTTTTCTCAATTTTTACTTATTTATCTATATTAATGGTATATATTATCTAATTATACATATATAATTTTTTTTTTTTTTTTTGAGACAGTCTCACCCTGTCACGCAGGTGATAATTCAGTGGTGCAGTGATGGTTCACTGCAGCCTCAACCTCCTGGGCTCAGGTGATCCTCACACCTCAGCCTCCTTAGTAGCTGGGACGATAGTCATGCACTACTACACCTGGCTATTTTTCAGTATTTTGCAGAGACAGCCCTCATTGTGTTGTCCAGGCTGGTCTCAAACTCCTAGGCTCAAGCACTCCTCCCTCTTCTGCCTCCCAAAGTACTGGGATAACAGGCATGAGCCACCAGATTATATTTATTTCTAGTCCCTGTATTTAATTCTTAACCTACATTTTTACTTTTCTAAATATTAATTTCAATTGTCATATCTCAGTTGACAGGTAATAAAGTTAATTTTTTCTGCTTGCAACGGATCTTAGACCAATGATAATAAGATATTCAGTTACTCTTTGTGCCTTGACAGTATCTAAGAAAGATACCCTAAGTGAAACCCTTCAAGCATTTGTTTCCTTCCCTCTTTTTGTTTTTTGTTTTAAAGGACTTTAAAAAGCTATTGTTTGGGGATAGAGGGAGAGGGTGGAATTATTTGTAGATTCCACATGTTAAATATATAATAAGTTCTTTAAGTTTGTTTTTATAGAGACAAGATCTCCTAATGTTGCCCAGGCTGGTCATGAACTCCTGGGCTTAAGCGATCCTCCTGCCTCAGCCTCCCAAACTGCTGAGATTGCAGGATGTGAGCCACTGCACCTGGCCTAAGTTTATATTTAATAAACTGTATATAACATCTCAAAGCTTCTGTATTTCTAAAATAATCTCTTTTTTCCCCCCCTTTTTGACTACAAAGGACTGTTTTTCTACATTATGTCTCTAGTTAGAAAATGTCTGGCTAGGCTGGGCGTGTGGCTTACGCCTGTAATCCTGGCAGTTTGGGAGGCTGAGACAGGCAGATCACAAGGTCAGCAGTTCAAGACCAGCCTGGCCAACATAGTGAAACCCCGTTTCTACTAAAAATACAAAAATTAGCCAAGTGTGGTAGCAGACGCCTGTAGTCCTAGCTACTTGGGAGGCTGAGGCAGAAGAATTGCTTGAACCTGAGAGGTGGAAGTTGCAGTGAGCTGAGACTGTGCCATTGCACTCCAGCCTGGGTGAAAGAAACAGACTCCCTCTCAAAAAGAAAAGAAAACAAAATGCCTAGATAGCTGGGCACAGTGGCTCATGCCTGTAATCCAAACACTTTCGGAGACTAAGGCAGGCAGATCACTTGAGGTCAGGCATTTGAGACCAGCCTGGCCAACATGGCAACATCCTGTCTCTAAAAATACAAAAATTAGCTGGGCATGGTGGCAAGTGCCTATAATCCCAGCTACTCAGAAGGCTAAGGTGGGAGGATTGCTTGAACCTGGAAGGTGGAGATTGCAGCGAACCCATATCGTGTCACTGCACTTCAGCCTGGGCAACAGAGCCAGACTCTGTCTCAAATTTAAAAAAAAAAGAAAGAAAATGCCTGGGTCCATAGCAGCTGGGAAAGACTTTCTTGTAACTGATTACTCAGCCACAACTGGAAATTGCTCTTTATAGCAGAATCCTCATAGCGATAAATGGCAGGTAACTGTGGAGCCAGCCAGACAGGTAGAATAGGATGAGGTGAGGTAGTGGGGAAGGGAAAGATTCCAAATGGAGTTACAAATGAGGAATGAAACAGGGATAAATGGAAATGCTCTTCTGAACTTTGCCTAGGAGACAATACTGTATCAGAGGCCAAGCCTTTTTTTTTTTTTGTTTTTGGAGGAGCTTGTGTGAGTCTCAGCTCTGTTGGCCAGCTGGAGTGGCAAATGGCGGGTGGAGACTGTCGGCTCACTGCAACCTCCACCTCCTGGGTTCAAGTGATTCTCTTGCCTCAGCCTCCTGAGTAGCTGGGACTACAGGCGCGTGCCATGATGCTCAGCTAATTTTTGTATTTTGAGTAGAGAAGGGGTTTCACCATGTTGGAGAGGTCAAGCTTTTAAAATGGTGCATTTTCTCTTCAGCAGCATCCCATCAATAAGGGAGGGGTCAGGACTCCAGTACTTCCAAGAGGAAGACTCTCTGTGGCTTCTACTCCCATCGGCCAACGACACTCGCAAGGCCGGTCTTGTGGCCCTGCAAGTCAGAGTACCTTGGGTCTGAAGGGGTCACTCAAGCGCTCTGCTATCTCTGCAGCTAAAACAGGTGTCAGGTAAAGAAATCACTTCAAAATGTAATTATGAACAAGATTTCACATGGATCATATAAAAATATTTTTTAATTGGCAAATAAATTCGTACATTAACTCATGGGGTAACCGGTGATGTTTCCTTTTTTTTGAGACAGAGCTTGCGCTCAAATCCTTGCCGGCTGGAAGTGCAGTGGTGTGATCTCAGCTCACTGCAGACCTCCGCCTCCCGGGTTCAAGCGATTCTCCTGCCTCAAGCCTCCCCGAGTACTTGGGAACTAACCAGGTTATGTGTCACCACACCCGGCTAATTTTTTTTATTTTAGTAGAGAGGCTTTCATCATGTTAGGCCAGGATTGGGGGGGGGGGGGTTTTTTTCAATCTCCTGACCTCATGAATCCACCCACCTCACGACCTCCAAGGTTGCTGGTATGTACGGCGTGAGCCACCACCCCGGACCCATAGTGATGTTTTAATACATATATTGTATGGTAGTCAGATCAGGGTAATTAGCATATTCATCATCTCAAACAGTTATCATTTCTTTATATTTAGTATCCTCCTTCTAGCTATTTGAAACGACCATGCCCAGCTAATTTTGCAAAGTCTCACTATGTTGTCCAGTCTGGTCTTGAACTCTTGGGCTCAAGTGACCCTCCCGCCTTGGCCAGCCAAAGTGCTGGGATTACAAACATGCAATTGCACCAGCCTTTCTTTTTTTTTTTTTTTTTTTTTCCCAGATGGAGTCTCACTCCATTGCCCAGGACTACAGTGGCAAGATCTTGAATCACTGTAATCTCCTCCTCCCAGGTTCAAGCACTTCTCAGCCTCCCAAGTAGCTGGGACTACAGGCACGTACCACCACAACCGCCTAAGTTTTCATTTTTAGTAGAGACAGGGTTTCACCATGTTGGCCAGGCTGGTCTCAAACTCCTGACCTCAGGTGATCCACCTGCCTCGGCCTCCCAAAGTGCTGGAATTACAGGCACGAGCCACCACACCTGGGTGCACCCGGGTATACATACCTCTTAAATTTCTCATTCAAATCATGAATTGTTTTCCTGATTTCATTGACTTGTCTGTATTATTTCGTGTGTCTCACAGAGTTGCCCTAAGATTATTATTTTGAATTCTTTTTCTGGTATTTCATATATTTCCCTATGAATTGGGTTATTGGAGAATTACCATTTTTCTTTGGAGGTGACTTGTTTCCCTACATTTTCATGGTTTGTGTGTCCTTGCATTGATTTCTACACATCTGTTAGGAAAGTGACCTCTTCCAATTTTATAGAGGAGGTTTCATAGGGAAGAACATATTCATATGAATAGGTCTTGGGGTGTCAGTTAAGTGGGGTGTGTTGGCCTTGGTTCTAAGTGGGCACAGGAATATAGTCTCTGTGTAGTTTCTTCAGCTGTAGTGCATTTGAGTGGCATTTGTAAGTCTCTCAGTAGCCTAGGCTAAGAGAGTTGGTGGTGATGGTGGCTTTGCCAGGTTTGGGACTGTGGGGCTGTTTCTCAGCCCTGGTATGCAGTTGCATGGCTGCTTGGCTGACCTTGGGGCATATCTACCAGAGGCTGCTTGCAACACTGCCTCTCAGGCCCTTACTAGGAGTACAGGGGCATTGGGCAGGTCAGGGGCTTCTCTGCAGGGGTGAGGCATCTCACAGCTGTTTCTCAGGCCCTAGCCACAGGCACATAGCCACTCAGTCAGCACCGGAGTACTCCCAAAGTACTGGGATTATAGGTGTGAACCATCTCACCCAGCCTGCCCATGTTTTAATCAGATTTTCTTTTCCTGTTCCTCCAATGTAGTTTTTAAAACTTAAAAACTTTAAAACTTAAAACTTAAGTTTAGAAGTCTATTTATTGAATTAGCTTGGAATATGAAGTACCTATAATTGGTAGTTCTGATTTCATTTAAGAACACCATGGCCCAGGAGCGGTGGCTTATGCCTGTAATCCCAGCACTTTGGGAGCCCGAGTCGGGTGGATCACCTGAGGTCAGGAGTTCAAGACCAGCCATGACCAACATGGTGAAACCTCGTCTGTACTAAAAATACAAAATTATCTGGGCATGGTGGTGCGCACCTGTAATCCCAGCTGCTTCGGAGGCTGAGGCAGGAGAATCGCATGAACCCAGGAGGTGGAGGTTGCAGTGAGCCAAGATCATACCATTGCACTCCAGCCTGGGCGACAGAGTGAAACGTCGTCTCAAAAAAAAAAAGAACACCATGGTCAGAGGGTTGGCCCTTCACTGCAATGTACAGGTGGGTCTGGACTTCACACCATAAGATACCATTAATTGAATGAAGGCTCATTGTTATTTTATGAACCATTAAGAAAAATCAGACTAGGCTTGGTGGCTCACGCCTATAATCCCAGCACTTTGGGAGGCCAAGGCGGGCAGATCACAAGGTCAGGAGTTCAAGACCAGCCTGGCCAACATAGTGAAACCCCATCTGTACTAAAAATACAAAATTAGCCAGGCGTGGTGGTGCATGCCTGTAATCCCAGCTACTGGGGAGGCTGAGGCAGTAGAATCACTTGAACCTGGGAGGCAGAGGTTGCAGTGAGCCAAGATTGCACCATTGCACTCCAACCTGGGTGACAGAGTGAAACTCCATCTCAAAAAAAAAAAAAAGAAAAAAATTAGCCAGGCACAGTGGCACATACCCATAGTCCCAGCTACTCGGGAGGCTGAGGCAGGAGGATGGCTTGAACCTAGGAGGCAGAGGTTGTAATGAGCTGAGATCACACCACTGCACTCCAGCCTGGGTGACAGAGCCAGAACCTGTCTCAAGAAAAAACCCTACCAATCAACTACTGACATCTTATGAACTGTAAAAACACATCCCAATTTCAGAGATGTTAAAATGTAGAAAAAATACTGTCAGTGAATCAATCAAATACATTTGTGGCAATTTGCCATATGTAAAGAATGGTAAAGAATGGGTTTATTTCTCTACCACTCAAATGAATGACATTCTTTTAGGAAGATACAAGACCTGTTCTCACCACTCATCTAGCATAGCAGTCTTCTGCTCCCTGTGACTTCCCCTCACAAGGAGGAGGAGGAGGAGGAGGGAAGAGGAGAGAGGAAGGAGGAAGAAGAAGAAGAAGAAGGGGAGCTTTTGGCTTGCCTCTTGGACTATAATGAGACCTCCAGGCCTATTCCTCCAGCACCATCACAGGGAGAGCAGAAAAGACAAGAACATATTTTACAAATAACGTTAGTTGATATGTGATTTACTTTAGCATTAGCCTTTTAGGAATATGTCTCTTCTGCAAAAGAGGTTCATTCCTATGACAAGTATTAATTGAGGCCCTTTTCACTGCTTGCTGATAGTCAAGTGGTTTTATTTATACGCTAGACACAAGTTACTCTTGCCACAGTACTCATGTCTTGTACTCTGCGGTCCTATTTAGGTTTTCAGCTGCTACTAAAGATAATGAGCATAAGCGTTCACTGACCAAGACTCCAGCCAGAAAGTCTGCACATGTGACCGTGTCTGGGGGCACCCCAAAAGGTGAGGCTGTGCTTGGGACACACAAAGACCACCAAGGGGAATTCTGCTGCTGGTAAAAAATAAATAAATAAATTTGCTTCATTTTTAAGCCATGTAACTTCCCAAAATGATCAGGTGTATCTGTTTTCTTTTTTTCTTTTTCTTTTTTTTGAGATGGGAGTTTCACTTTTGTCACGCAGGCTAGAGAGCAATGGCGCGATCTTTGGCGCGATCTTGGCTCACTGCAGCCTCTGCCTCCCAGGTTCAAGCAATTCTCCTGCCTCAGTTTCCTGAGTAGCTGGGATTACAGACATGCACCACCACACCCAGCTAATTTTGTATATTTAATAGAGACGGTTTCGCCATGTTGGTCAGGCTGGTCTCAAACTCCTGACCTCAGGTGATCCGCCCGCCTCGGCCTCCCAAAGTGCTGGGATAACAAGAGTGAGCCACTGCACCCGTCCTGTATCTGTTTCCTTAAACTCTTTCCATTTCTATAAAATCAAAAACAAAAATTTTACCATGGTCTATTTTTCATTGTGTACTAGAGAGGGAAATGCCAGAGATACAAGCAAAAACCAGATATCTGCCTGAGAGCTCCATCTAGTCCTAAAATGGTGACCCTCCAGGAAGGGCACTGTGCCCCCTGTGGGACTCAGGGATTCGGAGGACGAGCACAGTATTCATTACAGCCTCGGATTGGTCCTAGAGGACTCTGACACTAACAGGATCCCAGACCACAGACTTCATGTTTCAAGATTCAACCATGTTCTCTCATTTTCACTGTGTTTTTCAGTGGTATGGGTATATGTCAGTTTATCTATTTTACTATTCATGAACATGTGGGTGGTTCCAGCTTTCATTATTATATATGATGTTGCTATGAATACTCTTAAACATGTCTCCTGTACATGTGCAAGAGTTTCCCTAGACCTAGGAGCAGAACAGCTGGATTGGAAAATATGCAGATATTTACTGTCTTGGATGAATTGTACCAATCTATGCTTCCAGCAGCAGTGTATGGCAGCCCCTTATCCTACTCCCTGTCAGCATTTGATACTGATACAGTGGGATAGCTTGAACACAGGGTTTTGTGCTTTTTTTAACTGGGTGATCTTAGATCCTGATTGCTGTTTCACAGATGTAGGCAAGGGTTCACATTTGGCAATGACCTGTGGCTTCCCCCTGTGAAAAGAAAGGATTGGCCGGACGCAGTGTCTCTTGCCTGTAATCCCAGCACTTTGGGAGGCCGAGGTGGATGGATCACTTGAGGTCAGGATTTTGAGACCAGCCTGGCCAACATGGTGAAATCCTATCTCTACTAAAAATACAAAAATTAGCCAGGCGTGGTGGCATGCATCTATCGTCCCAGCTACTCAAGAGGCTGAGGTAGGAGAATCGCTTGTACCAGGAAGCAGAGGTTGCAGTGAGCTGAGATTGTGCTACTGTACTCCAGCCAGCCGGGGCAATACAGTGAGACCCTGTCTCAAAAAGAAGAAAAAAAAAGAGAGAGAAAGGATTAACTGATGGCCAACTGTAGCAAAAAGGCTAACTAAACTACACTATCCTTAGGCTGGGCATGGTGGCATGGAGATCAACCTGGCCAACATGGCAAAACCCCGTCTCTACTAAAATTACAAAAATTAGCCGGGCATGGTGGCATTTGCCTGTAATCTCAGCTACTTGCTTGAGAATCACTTGAATCCAGGAGGCGGAGGTTGCACTGAACCGAGATCACATCACTGCACTCCAGCCTGGGAGACAGAGCAAGACTCCATCTCAAAAAAATAAAACTAAACTATACCATCCTGGATGTTTTTAGCTTCACAGTACAAAAATTCATATTCTTTTTTTTTTTTTGAGATGGAGTCTCTCTCTATCACCCACGTTGGAGTGCAGTGGCACCATCTCGGCTCACTGCAACCTCCGCCTCTTGGGTTCCAGCGATTCTTCTGCCTCAGTCTCCCGAGTAGCTGGGACTACAGGTGCCTGCCACCACGCCTGGCTAATTTTTGTATTTTTGGTAAAGATAGGGTGTCACCGTATTGGCCAGGTTGGTCTCGAACTCCTGACCTCGTGATCTGCCCGCCTCCGCCTCCCAAAGTGCTAGGATTACAGGCGTGACCCACCGTGCCCAGCCAAAAATTAAAATTCTGAAGTGATAAGAGCCCTTATTAATAATATTCCTGACTTTAAACAATCCTGCCTCAGCCTTCCAAAGTGCTGAGATTACAGGTGTGAGCCACCAGGCCATGAATCTTCTCAACTCTGTGATTAGGTTCTTTTTATGTTTATTTATGTTAATGATAATACTATTAATAATATGTAATTTTTATGGGACTTATCAGAGAAATAAGCTGAAAAGTTACCGTTCTTTCTTTCAACAGAATTCTAAACTCCCATCTGATCTTAGGAAATGTCATGATATTCAGAACATTTACAAAGCTTCTTAGCAAAGGAAACTAATCTCAATGCTTAGCTTTCCTCAATTATTGTTTTCTTCTCTTTTCTCCATTTTAACCCTTATTTCAGACTCTTTCATCTGTTTCAGACAATCTATTCTTGTAGATTGTCTTAGTCCTTTGGGGCTGCTATTATATAACAAAGCACCGAAGACTGTGTCTTATAAACAGCAGGAATTTCTCTCTCATAGTTCTGGAGGCTGGATGAGGGCAGATCAGGGCACTAGCATGATTCTGGTAAGGGCTCTTTTCCAGGTAGCAGACTACCAACTTCTCGTTGTATGCTCATGTGGCAGAAAGAGAGCTAGAGAAAATTCTGTGGGGTACCTGAATCCCATTCATGACCTATTTACCTCCCAAAGCCCTACTTCCTTACACCAGTCGTATTGACGGTCAGGATTTCAATATGAATTTGGGGTTGCAGGAGATACAAACATTCAAGCTATAACTTTTTTTTTTTTTTGAGACAGAGTCTTACTCTGTTGCCAGGCTGGAGTGCTGTGGTGTGATCTCAGCTTGCTGCAACCTCCAACTTCCTGGTTCAAGGGATTCTCCTGCCTCAACCTCCTGAGTAGCTAGGATTACAGGCACGTGCCACCACACCTGGCTAATTTTTGTATTTTAGTAGAGACAGAGTTTCACTATGTTGGCCAGGATGGTCTCGATCTCCTGACCTCATGATCCGCCTGCCTCAGCCTCCCAAAGTGCTGGGATTACAGGCATGAGCCACTGCACCCG